CATGTGTGTTAATAAACGTCCATTAGTCGTGTGTGTGTGTGTGTGTGTGACTGATTAAACAAAGATCCAAAATGGTTAAATGAATGATATGAAGTGAAAGTGCAAAAAGTCCAAGAAAAAACAAACATTATCCGTCCTTTTTGTCTCCCTTTTTATTTTATTTGGTCATAATTACAAAACAATTAATTAATAATAATAATGTCTGAACCCAGGCAATCTGCGTGACCAAGTTCGACCCTGTTTACGTGCGCACCCGAGAGAGAGAGAGAGAGAGAGAGAGAGAGAGAGAGAGAGAGAGAGAGAGAGAGACTGCAATATCATTTGTGAATCCCTCTCTCCGTGCTGCAGATAGGGGCTGCCAACACATGCGGTGCGTCTGCAGGTGAGAGAGGCGCGCGCTGAACACGCTGGACACATCCAACCTCTCCTAAAAAGAAGAGAAGAAGGAAAAAAGAACACAGCGTCGGATTTAGTTTTTATTGTTTCCTTTCAACACAGCCTTATTTTTTTTTCCTTAATGCTTTTCAACCTCCTGGGTTGCAAACGGAGTTGTGGCTCGTTTAAAACCAGACTGTTCTGCTTGTTGCAAGTGACTTGGAAAAAAGGGAAGAAGAGGAAAAGCGGACAGGTCGTGTGCTGAGGGAGCTCTCCTGCGCAGCGGCTCTCATCACCGCGTAAAAGAAAGAAAGAAAAAAAGAGTTGTTCTCTCACATCTGTGGACGTTCCACCGGACTGAGGATTAGTGTGCAGCCTCGCCCTTTAGATTTAAAGAAAATCCCCCAAACTGTGAGTAAATGATTCCAGAAGCATGAATTGAACGCACTTTTATCTTCCGCTGATCGGACTATAATAAGACTTTTTAAAGCGCTCAGACGCTGAGATGGTCCGGAGCGCACAGAACTTCTCTGCGTGTTGCCTTATGTTTTTATTTTATTACTATTTTTGAAATGAAGCTTTGAGAAACTAACACTCAGTGCTAAAGGAGAGGAGGAGAGGAGAGGAAAGGAGAGAGGAAAGCCCCGCTGCACTTGCTGCTTTTCACTGCAGCAGAAACCAGAGGAAGACTTCATCCGGAGAATGAAGTCTCACACATCCCGAAGCGAAGGCTCTTAATGACATTTTTCTCCCAAATCAACACTTCCTATTAATTTTTTGGACTTCTTTTTGCCTGTTTTTTTTCTCCCCCTCCTCCCCCAAAGGGTGAACAATGAGGACTACTACTACTGCAGTGGACTATTTTTACTATTGCATGCTCATTTTGCAGCTGCTCGTGCATCAGCCTGCTGCCAAGCAAGTGCTGCTGTACCGCCTGGCTGAGGAGGGACCCGCCGATGTCAGGGTGGGCAACGTTGCCGCCGACCTGGGCATAGTGGCCGGGTCCGGGGAAGTGACGTTCACCCTAGAGTCTGGCTCGGAATTCTTCAAGATAGACAACATCACAGGTGAGCTGAGCACCAACGAGAGGCGCATAGACCGTGAGAAACTGCAACAGTGCCAAATGATCTTTGATGAAAACGAGTGCTTTATAGATTTTGAGGTGTCTGTCATCGGACCGGCTCAGAGCTGGGTCGACCTCTTTGAGGGGAAAGTCATCATATTAGACATAAACGACAACACTCCGTCTTTCCCTTCCCCTGTGCTGACTCTGTCTGTGGAGGAGAACAGACCCATTGGAACCCTTTATCTGCTGCCCACAGCCACAGACAGAGATTTTGGCAGGAATGGAATAGAGAGATACGAGCTCATTCAGGACAATGGGGAGAACTCAAGGCGCATGGGGTCTTCTGGGGATTCGTACTCCGGCAAGAGGCGATTTGAGGATGGGGCGAGCAGGAGCAGTGTGTTTGAGCTGCAAGTTGCTGACACCACTGACGGGGAGAAGCAGCCCCAACTCATCATTAAGGGGGCCCTGGACAGAGAGCAGAGAGACTCCTATGAGCTCACGTTGCGCGTGAGAGATGGAGGAGATCCCCCTCGCTCTTCTCAGGCCATTTTGAGAGTGATGATCACTGATGTGAATGACAACAGCCCTCGGTTTGAGAAAAGTGTGTATGAAGCTGACCTGCCTGAAAACAGCTCCCCCGGCGCCCCCATCCTGCAGCTGAAAGCGACGGATGCAGACGTGGGGGTTAATGGTCAAATCGAATATGTGTTCGGAGCGGCCACAGAGTCTGTAAGAAGGCTGCTGAGGTTGGATGAGAGCACCGGGTGGCTGAGTGTGTTGCACCGCATTGACCGTGAAGAAGTGAGCCAACTGAGGTTCACGGTAATGGCCCGTGACCGAGGTCAGCCGCCCAAAATGGACAAGGCCACAGTGGTGTTAAACATYAAGGACGAGAATGACAACGTCCCTGCCATTGAAATCCGAAAAATTGGGCGCATTTTYCTAAAAGACGGGGTGGCTAATGTTGCTGAGGATGTGGTGGTGGACACACCCATCGCCTTAGTTCAGGTGTCGGACCGAGACCAGGGKGAAAACGGCATAGTGACCTGCACAGTGGTAGGGGACGTGCCCTTTCAGCTCAAACCTGCKAGTGAGATGGAGGGTGAACAAAACAAAAAGAAGTATTTCCTCCACACGTCTGCACCGCTGGACTACGAGGCCACACAGGAATACAATGTGGTCATAGTTGCTGTGGACTCTGGAAGTCCTAGTCTGGCAAGTAATAACTCTCTTATTGTGAAAGTGGGCGACACTAATGACAACCCTCCCATCTTCAGTCAGAATGTAGTAGAGGTGTCCTTCCCTGAAAACAATGCTCCTGGTGAAAGGGTGACAAGAGTGACAGCTGCTGATGCAGACAGTGGGAAAAATGCAGAAATAGCTTATTCCCTAGATTCATCAGTAAATGGGATTTTTTCTATTGATGCAGACAGTGGAGACATCAGGGTAAACACCATCCTGGATAGAGAGCAAACAGAGCGCTATGAATTTAAAGTGATAGCTAAAGATAAGGGCATAAACACCCTTCAGGGTTCTGCGACTGTGGTCGTACTCGTGGCCGATAAGAATGACAATGACCCGAAGTTCATGCAGGACGTATTCACCTTCTATGTAAAAGAAAATCTTGATCCAAACAGCCCAGTCGGCATGGTTACGGTGATTGATGCAGATAAAGACAAGAACGCAGAAATGGGTCTTTTCATTGAAGAAGAAGAGGAGATCTTTTCTATTGAGAATGAGACTGGAACTATTTTTTCCACCTTGTCGTTTGACCGAGAGCAGAAAACCACGTACACGTTTCGTGTTAAAGCCGTGGATGGTGGTGACCCGCCCAGGTCTGCCACAGCTACAGTTTCACTCTTCGTCATGGATGAAAATGACAATGCGCCAACGGTCACCTTCCCAATAAACAACTCTTTCACGCTGCTTCCTCCTTCCAGTGGCATTAGAACAGTTGTTCGGGCTGTTGTAGCCTCTGATTCGGACACTGGCATTAACGCAGACCTGAACTACAGCATCATTGGGGGCAACCCCTTTAAGCTTTTTGAAATTGACGGGGGCACTGGTGTTATTTCACTAATGGCAAAGCTGGAGCAGAAACACTATGGCCTCCACAGACTTGTGGTCCAGGTGAATGACAGTGGACAGCCTTCACAGAGCACCACCACACTGGTTCATGTCTACGTTAATGAAACTATCTTCAACTCATCCATTGTGGAGGCCCAGGTGGCTAAAAGCTTGAGCACATCTCTTAACACCAACATTGCAGGTGACCCCAACTACGATTTAAGCAAACAACGTTTAAGCATCGTGATTGGAGTAGTTTCAGGCATTATGACCGTCATTCTCATAATTCTTGTCGTTGTCATGGCACGTTATTGCCGCCCCAAAAATAAGAATGGCTATGAGGCTGGCAAGAAGGATCATGAAGATTTCTTCACACCACAGCAGCACGACAAATCTAAGAAACCCAAAAAAGATAAGAAGAAGCAAAAGTCCAAACARCCTCTCTACAGCAGTATTGTCACAGTGGAGGCCTCCAAACCCAACGGGCAGCGGTACGACGGCGTCAACGAGAAGCTTTCGGACAGTCCCGGCATGGGCCGTTATCGTTCGGTCAATGGTGGGCCGGGCAGCCCGGACCTGGCACGGCACTACAAGTCCAGTTCACCGCTTCCCACTGTTCAGCTTCATCCACAGTCACCAACAGCTGGAAAAAAGCACCAGGCAGTTCAGGACCTGCCTCCTGCCAATACATTTGTTGGCACCGGAGATAACATTTCCCTTGGATCTGATCATTGCTCCGAGTACAGCACTCAAACCATCAACAAATACAACAAACAGGTAAGAAAACGCATCTCAATGTCTTTTTGTTTTTCCCTCCACCACTCTTAAATGTCTTCTGCTTCCTCCTCTTAGTGTTCTTTCCACCATAATGCTTTCTGACAGTGCCAGTCTCAGTAGTCGTGTTGCCTTTATGGTGCTAATGTGTGTCAAGTTAGTGGGTATTGATCTGTTTTGGTTTGGAGTGCCATTCACATGTAATATTGAAAAGAAGGAGAGGTTCAGATCAGATTTTGTGGGGGATACTGTTGCCACTTGACCAAACATGTCCAAGTTTTCTTTTACTTTCATCACAGCATGTTGAAGCTTACTTTTCTGTCAAGGGTGTCACAGCTGCTGACCCTTGCGAGTACGTGTCAGGGTGTTGTAGACAGCTCACATCAGGATTTGGTTTGCAGTTATTTTATCCCAAAAGGGAGTGTGGCAGGGGTCTGCAACACTACCCCCCCCCCGCCCCCCGCCCCACCCATAATCGTGTCAAGCCCTGACCTGCCCTCTGTCTGTGCCTTTTCTTCTTGTAGATTGTTGAAGGGAAAAAAAGGAAACAAATGCTAAAAAAAAAAAAGTTTGCATCCTCGATGTGTCTTGGCATTGATTTGTGAGTCAGTTGTTCTGTCTGTGCGCATAGGAACACTTGTCCACCCAGAAGGTCACATTAACATTTTTCTTTGCTTACAGTTCTGCATCATCTCATTGACCCAGCAGTGTAAACTGGGCTTTTTTATATCACCTCCCATAGTGCACCTCAGTGTCTTCTGCTCCTTTATCTTTTTTGCTTTTCTGCAAATGCTTGCCATCTGCTTTTCCTCCACCCTCCAGTTAGTCTTAWTTTTGTTCTCTATTTAATCCTTTTATTTTCTTCTCAGGAACTATTTTTTTTCTTCCAGTTTGCAAGGCATTTGATTTGAAATCAAAAATACAAGAAATGCAACCTCCTTATAGCACAGTCTGTAAATATTATCGTGGCAGTATTTTTCCCTGTTAGGTGCGACAACACGGAGGAATAAAGTTAAAACTTGATGAAACAAGCCGATTTTCCTTTCTTAGGAAAAAGAACAATATCCAGGTACATTACACTCTAATGAATTATTGATCTTTCTTTTACTTGGTTCCAGCACTACTCTTTTAGAATTCAGGAGTGTTTCCTGCTCACTTAGCCCCCGTTTTTGCCATTCTCTCCTTTTCTCCCTCCTTTGAATATTGTTCCTTTATTTTTTTATTTTTTTATTTTTTTATTTTACATTAGATGCGCATTATTGATTTTTCTGCTCAAACCCTCCTTTGGACATTCATATTCAGTAAGGCCTCCAAATAGTGTTTGTTGCCTTTATTTTTCCTCCCAATTTTTTTCAGCCTCTGCCGCATGGCACCCTTTACAACGGCACTCTCCTTGCATTTCTTTTCTTTTTCTGGCAGTAGTTTCTTTTTTTAATCGTCATTCTCATCTGTATCTAACCCCTCTCCTCTCTTTTCCCTCTCTCAAATCGTTTCAGTCCCCCTTTTTTTTACTGCCCTCCCTTCTTGCTCTCTCACCCCCCCATCTTGCTCTGTCGGTTACAGCCTCTAATATTGTGTATTCACTGAACTGCTTCCCAGAGTGTGAGGAGTGCTGTTGCTTTCGGATGTCTCCTGCATAATTAAAAGGGCACTCTATTTGCTGCCGCGGTAGCAGCAGCAGCATGTATTGTGTGTCACTATGCTCCGCTTATATAATTTATTTATTTATTCTCCACRTTGATGCTGCGGAAGCCCTTATGGGCTGTACTAAAGTCAGTTTGGAAACATATCAAAGGATTTTTTTCTACCCCCCCCCCCCCCATTCAAGTTTGAAATCTTAAATATCAATAGAATGTCAAAGCATCTACAAGGTAACATCATCTGTGTTTACTATGCGGCGGAGCTGGTTTGGCATTTAAGATACAATAGCAAGCAGGTATTCCGATTACCTTTTCTTACCCCATGGGCGAACATTGGCTGTTGCTACAGTCTACAGGGATGGGAAGGGCGGAGCTTAATGTCTACAAATGAGATCTAATTGAAGAGAAGGTGTTTGCTCATGTGCTCCAATTATGGCATTAAAAAGCCACCTCTTTATTAGATTAGGCAGTGAAGTGGTCATGCTCTTGATTTTAGGAACACTGCATCTAAAAATATTCCGTTGTCTGCTAAGGGCCACTTTAGCTAAATACATCATAAAACAGTCAAGGGCGCGCATGCCTCTGGGCTTTTTTTAATTATTATTGAAAATAAGTGTCAGTGACAAAACGAAGAAAACAGAAAACTGTTTTTTTTAGCATTCATATTTGATTTAACCATGTTTTCTTAACTTAGTGCATACAATTTTCTAACATTTGTCCCAGAATGCTGCTCATCCTGTTTGATGTGCATGATATACGGAAAGTAATGATACGGACTATTCTTCAGCGGGTGTGTGGGAGGAGATAGAGACAGGCGCAAGAAAGACGGCCCTGTTAGTGGTGGAGAGAATGGCCCCTACTGTTTCAGGACTTGAGGTTTTGGTGGAAAAATAGAGCGAGGACGGAGTGGCGGTGGAGGGAAACGGTGAATAGGGCTCGAGCATTGACAGTAATCTCTTGAGGTATCGGGTTCCGTCTTTCTCCCTCCTCGCCCACCTAATCTGACAATATCTGCACAGGCAACCTGCTCGGGCAGGTAACCAGGCAACTGGGGGAGTTTATCAGTGAGGCGAACCTTTCTTTTTTAGCCCATCAGACATTTAAACAGTCATTAAGCTGAGCTAAGTTTGGGGAAGACGCCAGGGTGTCACCTAGCAGCTGCTGAGAGCCACATTTCACCTTTTCGGCTTGTGTTCTTGGTAATTTTTCCTGTTCTGACCATGTTTATCCAGGTTTTTTTTCCATCTATTTCCTCCTTGCATGCCAGTTCCATTCAAAGGATGATGAGTAGTGTTTTCTCTTAACAAAGCACTTAACTTTATTACTTTTGGCAGTAGCTCCTGTTCAGGCTAGAGCCAGAAAATAACACACAGTCCAACCGTAATGTGGGGAGAAATGAAATCACTTAGCCATCGAATTAGCAGAGCCCATCAGCTTGTTGTTCTATCAATGCACTTCAAAGCACTCCTTGTGCCCAGGTGGATCACTTTTAATCAGCGGTGAGCCACAGAGGCTTGGGTTCTGTACTCTTGCAGCATAGCCCCTCAGGGCGGACGGAAGGCCTGATCCACCCACTTAAACCAGGTTTTCTTGCCTCTGGGCTGATGCAGCAAGACGAGCAGGACTTTGTCCTTAACTCAGCTCCCAGTGCTCCCCCTACCACCACCCCTATTGCTTTGACCAGCTGTTTCTCGAGTCCCACGCTGTAGCTCTCCTGCTCGAGCCAAATATGGCTGCGAAGCATCTAATTTGCAAAGGGCAAAGCCCCCACCTACTCGCCCCGCCACGCTCATACAGGACAAACAATATCATCATGCAAATGGAGGTCACCAAGGTGGTGTTTGTAGCCAAAACATCGGATGTGACTGCCCTTGAGGTTCCAGGCAGATCAGGAAACCAATATGGAAATGTAGCGCTTTGCCTATGGGCTCATTTGCTTCAAGCTAAGAAATGTAGCTGCCTAAACACCTATAAAAAAAAAGCCACAAGTGGCCCAGCTGAAATTGGCCCTTATGGGACACTCTGTTTTAAACAAAAGCTATTTGTGCATAATTAAATTGACAAAACACAAATGTAACAGTACCAAACTCCCTCTAAGGGCTCTCTGAGGGTTTAAGCTATGAAACCAGTTTGAAAGTAAGTCACACTTTTAGCTTAGTAAGGTCATAAAAGACCCAAGGGAAGCATCGGTCAATGACATGGGCCTTTTTTTGTCATCAGAGAAAATCGTCCCTAAAACTCAGGATAGGGTGAAAACAAGAAAAAAATTCAAGAAGAACCATCTGTAAGGCCTTTAGTGAGAAATAAGGCGATATGCAGTGAGCTGGTTTGTTTATTGCCACATTAATTTCAGCGTTTGTCCTTGGTCCTGCTGACTGTGGCTAATGTTATCAAAATTGTTTTGGATCTATTACGGCTTAATTCAATCTGTGGCTGCTCGGGCTTTTTTGTTGTTTACGTTCCGAAAAGGAAAATGGAAGGAGTAAGAGAGCACAGTAATACTCATGAAATTGCAGCGGGCAGCATTTTCTGGTATAATTTTGTTTGGGTGATTTGAATGCATTTGCTCCGAGGCAATTACTAATCTRAGGATTAGACATACCTGATACGCAGGCAGAAATGGTGGGGAAAACTGCAAAGAGATTGCCATAGCTGCTTTGCCATAGTGTCTGCAATATTACTCTGCATAATGTTTTAATACTGAGGCTTTTTTCACTCTTTACCTAAAGGCAAAAAACAAGAACAGTATGGCTTTTTTTTTTTGTCTTTTAATCTTTTTGTTTTTCCATCTTTCCACTAACGCGTGTCAGYTGAGCTCAGTCACATGCAAATAAACACTCATGACTGAAGAAGCTGAAGAAGACTCAACACTTGTCATGATAAGATGGGGGGAGGGGAACAGAGGGGAAGTGAGGAAGGAACAAGACGAGATATTTAAGCCGCACGCCACCTTGATTGCGCTCCACGCCGCTGATTGTAAGTGGCAGTGTTGAGGATGCCACCTTCTTCTCAGTGCTTTTTTTCAATTTGGTGTCATCGAAAATGGAATTTCATTTCATACTCKGCAGCGATCACATTAGATAGGGCTCAACTAGGATAAAGCCGATTCATATTTGCAGATTTGCCTTTTTTCCTGAGGCGCTATCAATCGCCTCACACTCGCCTGAAACGGTGGACTTGTTTTTCACGGCAATTGTTAGAAGGAGTTTGAACAGTAAATTGACTTTTACAGGGCTCCCAAGGTTTATGATACGCCATGCTAGCCGGGGTTGTTTTCTCCATAGCTGTCCTCTTGTATCGACTCTCGGAGCCAGAATCCACTAAATGAGAACATCACTTAGCTCCACTGCTGCTCAACCCTGG